GCTTTACTACTGATCTGTATCACCAACCCTATTTTATTGTTTTGTTTTGTTTTGTTTTTGTTACAGGGTCTTTGTTGTCCAGGTTGGCCTTGAATTTGTGATCCTCCTGCTTCAGCCTCCAGAGTAGCTGAGATTACAGACATGCAGCACTGCACATGGCTAAGACTTCTATTAATTTAAATTTCTGTATTTTAAAAGTCACACATCTTTAACAAAGTGATTAATTTTCCATTTTGAGAGAACTCTGAGTAAGAGGATATTGAAGGACACATACTTTTCTCTATTTCTGGGGTAGCCAGAACCAGTGTCCCAGAGATAGAGTCGAAGAACCCGGAGCTGTGGGTCCTTGGGTTAAGAAGGAAGTCTTGTACTTGGGATAAGGGTGTAAGTAATCTCATCTGATGCTGAGGGTCTTGGGTAGAGATGCTTCCTTCACTGGTGCCTTTCAGATTCTGTAGCATGACAGCACGGTCCCCTTCTCTCTGATCCATCTCTCCCTTATACACTGTAACATCAGGACAAGAGCTGTGGGCACCTGGGTCATGACAGGGCAGGAGACTGAAAGGGAAACCTTCTCTCCTCAGCCTGTGTATTTAACAGATTTATGCTTCTGGACAGGTATGTGGAATGTAGGGAGACCTACGCAATTTAGCAAATATCTGCGATATGACTATAAGGACCAGAACGCATTCAATTGCTATGAAGGAACAAAATGTTAGAAAAGAATACATGATACAGAAAGAGAAGCCTGCCAAAACCCCAGCAGCTGCTTTCTCTTGTGTCTGTGTGTCTTCCTTCCTCTGTGTCACTTCTCGTAGCAGTGCCCTTCCTCCCCACGGGGGCTATTCCCACCCCCTCAATGGCGCACTGTCCTTTCCAACATCAGTCCTGCTTTCTTCGTCATCATCTGGACTCCTGCCAGGTTTCTGCCTTGGCCTCAGTACAACTCCAGACACATCCCTTTCATTTGTATACCTATGGTTATTCTTACTTTTTTGTTTGTTTGTTTGTTTTTCTTCTGGTACTGGGAATCGAACTCATGGCCTTGTGCTTGCCAGGCAGGTGCTTTGCCACTGAGCTAAATCCCCAGCCCTCTTACTTATTTTTTGTTTCCAACACCAAGGAAGAATCTCATTGACACAGCTCAGCTTTCTGCACCAGATTCCTGGTTCTAACACCAGTGAGCTGGACTGCTCCAGGTTAGAGGACAACTTCCCGGTCCAATCAACCAGAGCTGGAGGGCGTCACAGGCGGCATGACTCACTCGAGGGCCAGGCCCTCAAAAGGGAGGGTTGTGGTGAGTATAAAGCAGTATATACTTTCAGAATTCAGTGAGTTCTAGAATCCGAGGGTGAAGCAGTACCTTATGCAATGATCTGATCCAAACCATGTCCCCACCTAAAATCCTAAATCTCCCAGAGCTAACAGGTGTCATTTCTTTCCTGAAAATCTCTGAGGTAAAGAGGGACTGGATATGGGGAATGAATGGATGGGAAAAGCCATTTATAAAATCTCCCAGTAACTTTGGGATTGAATGAAGCTTTGGACTAGGGCTGGAATAACATCTCACAAGGCACATCTGTTTTCTGAGTATATTCACTACTTACTATGCAATGGAGATATTTTTTTGGGAAAAACCCTTAGAGTCTCACATACTGTTCTGTGTTCGAAAGTTGGAGATGATGTTCTAAATGCATGTGGAAACTTTCCAGTATTTTTCTTCTTTTGAGGGATGTTTCCAGCACAGAGTACTGGAATGATGTAATAAAACTGAAATGATACCCTTGATTTTTGGTATTCAGAAAAAGAAGAGCATATACACAATGACACTAAGCCGTTTGCAATCCTTGAGTGGCAACGGCATAATGAATGTTCAGATACCTGCAGAGTGGGAACACCTCAAACTACAGATGAATTTCCGAATCACACTCTAATCACTTAAAGAATGGTTAAAACTTTGGGGATTCTTACTGGCAACAAAGAATTCCTTTTAGTGGCAGTGTTTATCCAAAACAGGTAAGCACAAAGCATTCAGAGACAATGTATTCTTTTGTTTTTCTAGAAAAACAACAAAAAATCTGCAGAAACATTCAGAAGAGAGCTGCACTTGGTTCCAAAACAGAAGTGAGATAATTGCAAGACATGCTCAGACATGCAAGCTATTTTATCCCAACAGTCGTACAGGGGAGATGGCAGTTGCATCCTTTAAGCACCTGAGTATTCATAAACCCAGGGCCACGGTTCATCATGTCACAACCAAGCTGAGACTGAGAACTCCCAACACACCCTTCCTAGTCCGAGCTCAGCTGAAATTCAGTTGAAAAATGTGTCATCAACATGGGGCACATTTTGAGACATAGGAAACAAAACAGCCTATATATCCATCAACAGATGCACACATAAAGAAAATGAGGTCTTTGGACACAATGGAGTACTACTGTGCCATAAAGCATGATAAACCTGAGGCATTTGTAAGCTGAAACACCTCAAGACCATAATGTTAACTGAAATAACTCAGACACCCAAGTTTAAATATTGCATGGTTTCTCTTGTATGAGAAACCCAAAATATAGATGAAGTGCAAAATAAAGGATACACGATAGGGAGGTAAGATCATTTTCAAGTGGGAAAGGGAACAAGAGATGGGGGAGAGAGAAAGGGAAAAGGATTTTTAAAAAGGAATCAAAGAAAAACATGGAAATAGAGCTTTTTCAAAAGTAAAAGGGATCAAGAGTTGGAGAGAGGAGAGAGGGTTGGGAGGGGAAGGGGACAAAAAAAATACATAATAAAAATGAAAAAATTAATGGGAACATCTCAAATATCCAATTACAATCTACACTGACTTTACTAGTGAGGAGAAAGTAGACTAAAGGTTGAGTGTCCATTATTTGAAGTGCCTGGCCCCAAAAGTGTTTTGCATTTCAGCTTTTGAGATGCTTGCATATACGTAAGCTATCTTGGGGGTGGGAGCCAGGTATAAACCCAAAGTTCGTATTTGACTCGTATATACCTTATAGACAGAGCCTGAAGAGAATTTCATACAAATATCTTTAGTGCTCCTGACTTTAGACTGTGACTCATCATATGAGGTCAAGTGTGGAATTTTTCCCTCCTGAGGTCTCAAACCAGTGCGTTATTTGGATTAGGAATGTTCAACTTGTAATATACATAGGAAAAAATCTAGAAAGGATTTACCAGTGTAGGGCTCCTCAATCTTGGTGCTGCCAGTATTTTATGCCAGATAATTCTTGGTGCTAGGTAGTAGTGCTGGGGTCCTGTGCTCTACAAGGTGTTTATAATATCTTTGGCCTCCATCCACACAAGGCCAGCAGCACCACTATCCAGACATGACAACCGAAACTGTCTCTAGACATTGCCAAACGTCCTCCGGGAGAAGGAGGAATAAAACTGTCACCAGTTGAGAACCACTATGTGAAGCAAGGACAGAATCTAGCTGTTCATAACAAAGACCACTACTTGGAATTAAATCAGCATCCCCAGAAACAGGCCGACTTCACTGACTTCACTGTTCCTTTGCTACAGTTAGCTTTGTAGAGCTGAAAGGGGCGCTGCCCTCTTTTCTGAAAAGGAGGTCAGAATGGTGATTGCAAGTAACTCTTTACCCAGCACATCACTGTGTTCCTTGGTAGGGGAGACAGGATAACGTAAGACCACAGTTCATGATCATTCTAGAAAGGATTTAATCCTGCCATTTAGGGTGAGCCATGTTTTTAGGTCCCAGAGACTTTGTTTGTTTGTTTGAGACGGAGTCTCATTATGTAGTTTAGGCTGGCCTTGAAATTACTATGTAGACCAGGCTGGCCTTGCACTCATGGTGAACCTCCTGTCTCAGCTTCCTGAGTGCTGGGATTACATGCATGCACCACCATGCTCAGATAGATCCCAGAGGCTTCTGTCCTATAGAACCACTCCTCACAATGATGCCATTTGCCTATGGAAGCCTACTTGCCATATGAAAAGATTTACATTGCCTGCCACAGGTCACACCAGATCCGATTCCTGTACTGTTGTGTCTTCCCAGGCGCACTTTGGAAATCACCCCAGGAGGGCAGAGGGGGCTCTTTGGGGTCCAACTGTCAAGTGCTTTGGAAAAATCTGATTTAGTTTATAGTCAAGAGCTGTTTCACCCCAGACCTCATGAGTAATTCTGCCCACAGTCAGGCCTGGCAGGCATTCCTTTCCTGAGTACAGAGCAAAGACTGCAAAGACACTGCCTTCCTTGGGAAAGGGAGCTGTTCCCCTTCACAGACTGCTTTGCAGAAGGCAGGAGGAAAGAACATCGCAGGGTCTCTCTGTGCAGTGCCCACTCTAGGAGCGGTCCCAACCTTGTGGGGACATGGTTCTCCAAAGCAAGTACCAGTGCCCGTCCGTAGATGCAGTGATTGGTTCTAGAACGCCCCCCAAGAATACCAAAACCCGAGGACACTCAAGCGCCTTATATAAAAGTGTAGTATGTGCATAAAACCTACACACATCGCCCTGTACACCCAAGTCTTATCGTACTAAAGTATACTCAAATCACTTTACATTACTTGTAATGTAGACACTATGCAGACACTGTATAAATGCTTTTTCCTTATTAAAGGAATGACATGAAAAAATGTCTGCATGCATTCAGTAAAGATGCATTTTTTTCCTTACAGAAGATTTTCAATCTACAATTGGTTGAATCCATGGATGTGGAAACCCTGGCCAACGAGCCAACTGTACGAGACATGAAAGTAGCCGTGATGTACAACTTCCAGCCAGCAAAGAGTGACAGGATTTGCTGCACAGGAGTGTAAGAACGGACAGGCAACCACAGCTTCAGTCAGACACCCAAGCGCTGCAGCAACCAAATGCCTGAACATTCTTATTTACGTCTAAGCAGATCTCATTAAGCCCTGGGCACTTGGTTTGATTACTCCCTGCATCAAAGTTAAATTAAACTAGCCAACCGTCTTCTTTTTAGAGAGCGACATGCGCACCAGCTGACTCACCTTCCAGAAGCTATCCACTTTGCCATACACGAGGGACTGGTTCTGCCTTTTGATTTCGTTAATGTGATGGATGTCGCTGGAGTTCAGGTGCTGCTCGACCACAAATCCCAGAAAGCTGTTGTCTGGGGTGTGAGCTGAAGTGGAAAGCAAAGGACAGGGCCGTTAGAGTTTGATCCGCAAGCAGCAGCAACAGTGAGGCTGAATACAAGCCCCCTTCCCCATCACTCATTTTACCTATTCCTCCTCAACTGGGAGCGGGAGGGACTGTCCTCTCCCATTCCGGCAAAAGCTTCACATGGGGGGGCTGGGGATTTAGCTCAGCGGCAAAGCACCTGCCTGGCAAGCGCAAGGTCGTGAGTTTGGTTCCTGGTACCGGAGAAAAACCAAAAAAAAAAAAAAAAAAAAAAAGCTTCACACGGGAACAATTCTCTCCAGAATGGATTAACCTAAACAAAGTCCTGTTGTTTTTAGGGGAAAGTTTACCTGTCTAAACATCACTGAGAGGCAGCCTCTCCTCCTTGTTCCCTCAGCATAAGGCTAGCCTCCGGGCAGATGTTCCTTCAGCCAGCTTCTAACCCTTGAGAGTTGGATTTGAGGGCCAAATCTGCAGGGGTCAGGGGCTGAGCAGTGGTTCTGAACCGGAAAGGTGCACATACAGTCCGATCTGACTCTAGCTGCATTTACCACCCAGTTGGGTAAGAGGCTGGGGGCAAAAATTGAGCAGCATCTGCCCGAAGTTTCATCTCCTCTAAGAATTATTAAAAAATGATGTACAGTCACGTGCTGCATAGCATTTCAGTCTGTGGTTGCCTGCATATGTAATGATGGCCCCAGAAGATTACCTGGTCTAGTGATGTCACAGCTCGTGTCCGCACGTCCTACAGTATTTGCAATGATACAATAATTTAATGATGCATTTCTCAGGACATGCCTCGTTAAGGGACCTGGGACTATAATTTAAGGGGCTACATTAAAGAGGGTGTGGAATGAAAGCAGAATAAAGGTGAAGCTCACTCATACAAAATCTACTCCAAAAAGCCAACCACTACAAAAGAACAGTGCGATAAGGTAGGTTATTTTGGAATAGGAAAAGGAAATGCCTGTTATCACTTTACCAAGGGGGAAACAATTCTACTGTCTCCCCAGACATTTGTATCTCTTGCCTATAATTTAAGAAAGAACTTCTACAAGTCGACCCTTAAAGGACAATTCCCTCTTGATTAAACAGAGACCACCCTCTTCTCTACCTTCATTCCCTTCAGAGAAATTTCAGATTTTTAGGAGCTGGCCTAGCAGAAGCCGCACATGGTCAGTATTAAAGGAAGCGACTGCTCTGTTTGGTCTGGCCTGAATAGAACAGCTATAAATAATGGTAAACCAGATTCCTCTTGCTAACTGAGATATATTCAGTAAAATCCATATATTGCAGCCCCAACTACATCATTCACAGCAAAGAGGGAGATTCACAAGCAGGGAGGCATGTCTCTTTGTCTTGTTCTGGTTTTCTCAGGACAAAGAAGGCCTGGCCCAGGCTTGATGGTGGCACCAGAGCCCTGGGAGCCACGCAGGGTGGCCTGAGGCACAGGCCTGGAAATCAGACACCCAACCTCTTTCGGCTAGTCCTGTGCAGGGAGTAACAAGAACAAGAGGGACGACGGCAGGAAGCCTGAAGCTATGGAAATGCATGCACAGCATAAATACCGTGCTGTCACCATCCAGTCTCCCAGGCCTGTGCCTAATGGGGGTGACAGAACGAGCAGATAATAGGGTTGTGACTGGGGAGTTGTGTGCGGCCTGGCCAATCTGTTATTTCATTTCTGCGTTTTTGAACGAGTGCCCAGAGGCAAGAGGAAGGGCTGCAGTTGGCTCAGAAGTACATTACTGAATAAATTCTCCCGCCAACAAGAGGCAACCGCTGCCTTTTTTTACCCCCCTTCCCTTTTTAAGGAACTGACAGAAGAGGGGATTTGGAGGGGAGGAGCGAGAGAATCTGTGTACATCTTAAATGTCATTCAGGCAACTAAAGAAGTCTCTTCCTAAAGCTTTTTTGTTCTTCTCGAAGTTCTTAACGAGAATTTGATACTCTAAAATGTGTTTTTTTTTCCAGAAAATTTATGTAATAACTAAAGTTCCAGTCTGAAGTTTTTTTCTCCTGAGATTCAGTTATTTAATCCATATGTGGGCACTTAAAAAGTATAGTATACAAAATACTTAATGGGTCTTATTTCATGTTATACTGTACTAAAGTGGAGTTGAAAAATCAAATGACCATTATCCCTCCCGCATAATACATACATGTGTAAATTTCTGTGTGAAAGATTCAATAGCTTGAATAGTGAGATGGAGGGGTAGGAAAAAAATTTATTCCAAAACTTGTGAGGAATGGCAAGCTTTGGCTGCACTGTGACTGCTATTTGTTACTAAATCAACTCTGACACTGTATGAAGAATAAATTACACATCTAAGCTCTCCTCTAAATTTTCATCCAACTGCTTTCTAATCAAAACCCCTCTCTGTCATGGTGAGATACTAACGAGGAGCAGCAACACGCCTGTGTGGTGTGGCACAGCAGCAGTTTACAATGGGCACACCTGGATCAATAACCCCCAACCCAAGGACCAGCCTGGCCTCTCCAGGAACCTTTCCAGGTGATGCTACATTTGTCACTGGATATCAAATTTCATCAACGGGCCACGTTACTCAGTTTTGACTCCCCCCAGCAGGTGATGTGGAGTAACCACAGGTCAGATGTGACCGCGTCCAACGGGGTGACCAGCAGCTGATGCCTGCTTGGTCACATCTGCAGAGAGGGCCCTGGTCTCAACGCCAGGCTTCTCATGTTGATTATAATTAATTGAAAGCTACAAGTCTAGCCTGATGTGATCCAGAATGACCATTCCATCGAGATCTAACCTTAGCCCAAGCTTTCTTTTTCTCTGCCTTAGGATGAGAACACAGACATCAGTTTCAAAGAGTAGCTAGTGACATTTCAAGATAAATCAAAGAAATCATATCATAAATGAGATGCAGGAAATTCTGTAGTTTCAGTGAGCAGTCCCTCCAGAAAATAAACAGGATTAAAAAAATCAGCAGATATTTGAGCTCTGACTATGTTTTGAATTCTATGCTAAGCACATTATAACTCATTTTATCTTCATAATAGCCTTCTAACATGTTTGTTCAAGGAAGAAAACAATTATCTAAACTATCCAAGTCTACATGCTATGATGGGGAAATGGTGGGTTTTAGAGCCAGAATGGCAGGTTCTAACCGCCTTAAACCACTTAAATATACAGCTTTATGGAGAGCCCTTTCTGGTCCTCACCTCGGCCCAGGAAGTTTATATTTGTATTCCCAGGGAAAAGTTATAATTCTACTGAGTTAATTCCAATCTACCACTTCCAGTGTAACCCACGGTGTAAGTAAAGACACAATTATACTGTATATCCAAAATGGTGGGGAATCAAGGGAAACCTGAGTCTGGTCAGAATGATGGCTATCTGGGACAAAGGCCTTTACCCCAGCCCGAACTCGGACTTTATGCATTTGTGAAGGAGGGAGTGGCCTGAGGATGAGTGACTGTGAGAGTGGTGGGAAGTATGTGAGTGCCATGAGGTGGGCTAGGTAGGAAGCTTGGTATTACCTCTCTAATACACAGAGAGAAGGATATGCAGAAACAGTAATCTGCGTAACACACTGGAGACAGTGTCTAATGTTTTGGGGTCAGTGCTTAGCTCTGATGAGCAAATCCTTCAAGCCCAGGAAGTCATAGCCTCTATCTCAAGGCTTGATCCCAGCCCACAGCGTGGAGCACTGGTTCTTCGTCCTGCCTCCTCTCGGCTCACCCAAGCGAACAACAGGAGTCCTGGGAAACACTGCCTGCCATCTTCAAAGACCACCATCAGCACCTCAGCTTGACCCATATGCACTGCTTAAAGCCAACTGAAGGGATAAGGAAAAGTCCTGGCCAGCTCTGTACATAGCAGTACATGGAAACAGGGTCAGGTTCAGCGAAAATGGAAACAACTGCTCCTCCTTCAAGGAGAGTCACCCAGTTGGTCCTCCACACAGCCTCATCTCCCAAATATTTCATTTGCAGTACCCTGTGAACTACAGTTTTGTGATCAACTTCTGTCATTCTGATGTGGGACTGTGCTGAACTTTTCACAGGCTACAGACTACAGGAAATTTGCTGACATTTACAGTGATATTCATATAGTTTAGGACAAACTTGTTAGAGCCTGTTTATAAATTATTACAAGCTAGCTTGATGCATTCCCTGAGCAGACCATGGTGATGCCTGCTTTGAAGAAGCACTATAAGGGTTGTGGCTGAGAAGGAGTAAACCCTAATGTTCTATAGCACAACAGGGTAACAAAGAATGACAACAATTAGCTGCACATTACAAAAACAGTCGAGAGGATTTTGAGTGTTTCCCAGCACAAGAGAATGATAAACATTTGAAGAAAGAAATACTACTAGATGAGCTTGAATAATCCAGTCAGTGTCAAACTTTTAGAGCACTCATTCTGTAAACCAGGTTACATTCTAGCAGTTGAGTGATTACAGTGGAAGAGTTTTGCCCCTCTGGAGCTTACCAATTACTTAATAAATGAAGGACACACCGTACCCTGCAAGCAGTAAAAACGTCTTCTTTAAAATATAATTCAAAATTTTTATTAAGTCAAATTGATCTTTCTTTCAATATATAAAACTCCAAGGTCTCTTTTTATGACCAGTAAGTCCGAAATACCTCGCAGAACTTTGTTTCATGCACACCCTCCGGTCATCAAGGACAAGCACCCTGCGACCAGGCTGGGCTCGTTCTCCAGCCCTTGCAGGCCGTCAGTCACCAAGTCCTGGGGCAACAGCTTCTCCAAATCCAGCAACTTCCTCCCTCCTCCATCTTCCTTAGTTCAGGCCTCATCACTTTTTGCCAAGATTTCTGCAATAAACTAGTTTTTCTTTCCCCTAAATACAAAATTGGTTTTCCATGATTATAAGTGAAATATATTCTTAGTATAAGACTTTTTTTCAGATAATAAAGACATAAGGAACAAATGTTACTCATTGTCTCACCACCTAGAAATAACCACTAATAGTTAGCTTTTCCCCAAGGTTTACGGATCCTTTT